ATCCCAACCCAACTTATTCCATGATGAGTTCTAGCCCTTGGATGAGCTCTCTGCCCATGAGTTTGGGTCTAGATGACCTCTAAGCTCCATCCCAACTTATTCCATGATGAGTTCTAGCCCTTGGATGAGCTCTCTGCCCATGAGTTTGGGTCTAGATGACCTCTAAGCTCCATCCCAACTTATTCCATGATGAGTTCTAGCCCTTGGATGAGCTCTCTGCCCGATGAGTTCTAGCCCTTGGATGAGCTCTCTGCCCATGAGTTTGGGTCTAGATGACCTCTAAGCTCCATCCCAACTTATTCCATGATGAGTTCTAGCCCTTGGATGAGCTCTCTGCCCATGAGTTTGGGTCTAGATGACCTCTAAGCTCCATCCCAACTTATTCCATGATGAGTTCTAGCCCTTGGATGAGCTCTCTGCCCATGAGTTTGGGTCTAGATGACCTCTAAGCTCCATCCCAACTTATTCCATGATGAGTTCTAGCCCTTGGATGAGCTCTCTGCCCATGAGTTTGGGTCTAGATGACCTCTAAGCTCCATCCCAACCCATTCCATAATCCCATCATGTGTTCTAACCCTTTGCTGAGCCTCATTGCCCTTCCCTGGATTCACTCAATGTCCTGTTGGGCCCAAACCTGACCCCGGTGAGGTGAGACCCATCCCAGTCCTCCCCTGATGGTGTGTCCTGCTCCTGCCCCTGCCCAGGGACTCACTTCCTGCGGGTGATCCCCGAGAGTGGCCCTGCAGCCCAGAGGCCTGAGGGGGTCAAGAGATTGCTCTTCTGCACGGGGAAGGTCTACTACGACCTGACGCGCGAGCGCAAGGCCAGGAACATGGAGGAGCAGGTGGCCATCACCAGGGTGGAGCAGGTGAGCAGGGCCTGGGCCCACAGGGGGAGGGAACAGGGCCTGGGGGCTCTGTGTGTCCTCTGGGACAACCCTCTGGGTCCTCTGAGATGTTGGTTGGTGTCCTCTGTGCCACTGTGTCCTCTGGGACATCTCTCTGTGTCCTCTGAGATGTTGGTTGGTGTCCTCTGTGATGCTGCTACGTGTCCTCTGTGCCACTGTGTCCTCTGGGACATCTCTCTGTGTCTCCTGAGATGTTGGTTGGTGTCCTCTGTGCCACTGTGTCCTCTGTGCCATCTCTCTGTGTCCCTTGAGATGTTGGTTGGTGTCCTCTGTGCCACTGTGTCCTCTGGGACAACTCTCTGTGTCCTGTGTGATGCTGCTATGTGTCCCACCTAGCTCTCCCCATTCCCTGGGCTGGGGGGATGCTGCAGCCCCCAGGACACCTCTCTGAGTCCCCTGGGACACCACTCTCTGTCCCCCCCGGGACACTGTTCCATGTCCCCTGGGACACCTCTCCCTGTGCCCTGGGACACTGTCCCCTGTCCCACCCATCTCTCCCCATCCCCCCATGCTGGGGGATGCTGCAGCCCCCAGGACACTTCTCTGGGTGCCCTGGGACACTGTTCTGTGTCACCACTCTGTGTCCCCTGTGCCACCACTCCCTGTCCCCATGTCCCTCCAACCTGATGCAGCTCCTGGGACACCTCTCTG